GCTCAAATTGTAACCCGAGTTAAACTCAAGTTGCCTGAGTTATCCAAATTGTACAAAAATTTCAGTTTTTTTTTTAAAGCTAAATTATTATTAAAGGGCAAATTACACTAATGGTCCCTATAATTTGGACCTTGTATGACTTTGGTTCCTGAATTTTCAATTGTGACACATTTGACCCTGATTTTGAATCTTGTTCCAAATAAGGACAATTGAAGATACCATTGCTCAATTTCAAGGACAAAGTCGTCAATTTAATAAAATATAAACTAATTTGATAAAAATAAATGTGAAAAACATATTTTTTGAATTTTTAAAAATTATTTCTACCCACTAAAGATAAAATTATATAAAATTGATAAATATTTTAGACATTTATTTTTATTTTTATTTTTTTACCAAATTAATTTTTATTATGTGTTTGGATGATAATCATATAATGGATGGTTGTTTTTATTTTCATTAAATTTGTTTCTATTTTTTCAAAAGTTAAATATGACGACAATTTTGATATCATTATTAAATCAACCCATTAAATCAAAAAATCCAAAACTAAAATATTTCTTATATTAAATATATCGATTACACATTAAAAACCTAACAACCACCAATTACATGATCATATCCAAACACATAATAAAAAATTAGTTTAGTAACATAAATAAATAAATAAATATCTAAAATATTTATCTATTTTACATAATTTTATTTTTGGTGGATAGAAATTATTTTTAAAAATTCAAAAAAAAAAATTGACATTTATTTTTGTCAAATTAGTTTATATTTTATCAAATTGATGACTTTGCCCTTGAAATTGAGCAATAGTATCTTCAATTGTCTTTATTTGGAACGAGATTCAAAATTTAGGATCAAATGTGTCACAATTGAAAAATTAGGAACCAAAGTGACACAACACAAATTATAAGAATTGTTAGTATAATTCGTCATTTATTAAAATCAGACTATTTTTGTAGAAAATTATTAATAATATCAAAATAAATAATTTATATAATGTAAGAGAGATGCTGCTATGATAGTCTTTACAATTTATGAGTGAAAATAAAAATGTAAGATTGTCTTGCTTGTGTATATAATATATATTAAATATAATTTAATAATTTAAATTATTTTAATATCATGTAATAACTAATAATTTATGTATATTTAATATTTATTATATATCTATATATATATATATATATATATAATTCAGGTTTAAGTTGTTCGGGTTGTTTGATATCTTTGCGCAAACTCATCCAAATTTAATTCGGACTTTCGAAATTTTTCCCAAACCCGTACCAAATTCAAAAATATATTGTCCAAGCCCTAAAAAAATTCAGGTTAGGCTCGGGTTGAACTCGTTCAAGTTGCACCTCTAACAATAGGTTATTCTAAAATACACATCATTTTATGTGTACCATACATAAGTTACAACATTTGTGGTGTTTCCTCTTAGACAGTCTTGGATCTCCAATTATTAAACACATCTTTAGGGAAACAAATAAAAGTGTGGATGCTCTAGTAAACTATGAATGGGGATGTTATACCCTTGATCTATGTACAAGTTTATTTATGAGTTTGGCTTTATCTCAAGTTATCATCTTAATTTGAGAGAGCATTTGGGCTTGATAGAACTATTTTGGAATCGATTTTGATGATCTGAATTGTTCACTTTTTAAGACTCGTTGAGTAGAATATTTATACAAAATATAAGATAATTGGATATCGACAGTTATATATTTGAATCATATTTGTTTTAAAAAAATAGATGACAAATATAATTTTAAGAATAACTGTTTATTTTTTGTAATATAAATTGGTTTCAAACATATAGCTACTATGTCCGATCATCTTAATTTTTTGTATGAATATTCTACTCAATGAGTCTTAAAAAATGAATTGTTCAAATTATTAAAACGGGACATATGACAGGCTCCACGGATTCCTCAAGTTCTTTCATATTGAGATCTCAGTATAAGAGAAACTCAATCCTTTATTTATCTATGAAGTCTTCATTTACCACAAAAATAGAAATAAATAAATTGTGGTGTTAATTACCACAAATGTTATAACTAATTTTTTTTCAATTACAAGTAAAAAAAAAAAAGAGAGAGTCATAAATAAATAGCCATACAAGGTATAACTAAAATGATAATCGCACATTTAATGGTTATCAACAAAAATAACTCTAATATTAAAATTACGAAACTGACCCTCCCATTAACGCCGTTAGTCACAGGAAAGGTCAGTGTAATTTCAAAAAAATAAAAACAAACCAGTGAAATTGTCAAGAACCTTAAACAAGATGACTGTAATTTACCTTTTTGTTTTTTTCATTTCAATCCTCTACTCAAACTTAAATTAGAGAAACTATAATTCAATCCACTTCTCAAAAAATAATTATAAATTCATAAAAAAAAATTATGATTTTAATTATTAATATTTATAAAATATATCACTAATTTATAAAAAAAAAATTTACATACCACTTATATGATATTTCTCCTATAAAATTTTGTCGTGGGACCCATTGGCAATGCCAAAAAAGGTCAGTGTAATTTCAAAAAAATAAAAACAAACCAGTGAAATTGTCAAGAACCTTAAAAGCGATGACTGTAATTTACCTTTTTGTTTTTTTCATTTCAATCCTCTACTCAAACTTAAATTAGAGAAATTATAATTCAATCCACTTCTCAAAAAAAAATTATAAATTCATAAAAAAATTATGATTTTAATTATTAATATTTATAAACTATATCACTAATTTATAAAAAAAAAATTTACATACCACTTATATGATATTTCTCCTATAAAATTTTGTCGTGGGACCCATTGGCAATGCCAAAAAAACATGCTGCACGCTTGAAGAAAAGATTGTCTTTCACTGTAAATTGCATGAGGTTTTGCCTCAAAAATATTTAAAGCTTTTATTTTTATTCACTACAAGAATTAACACTTTTGGCAACAAAAAAATTAGTCGCTAAAAGTCTATTTTTTGTCGGCAAAAGTTATCCGCGACCAATTTTTTTGGTCGCTACTTTGGTCGCCAATTGAGGGTCGGCAAAAGTAATTTGCGACCAAAATTGTAGTTGGTCGGCAAAAGTTGGATTTTGCCGACTAAATTTTTGGTCGCTAAATATTTAATTACCGCGACTAATTTATTTTGTCGCCAAAACACTTTGGTCGCGAAAAGTGATATTTTCCCGACCAAATTTCTTAGTCGCCAATTGTCACATTTCGCGACCAAAAATTTTTGTCGCCAATTATTACATTTCGCGACCAAATTTTTTGGTCGCCAATTATCACATTTCGCGACCAAAAAAATTGGTCGCCATTTGTGTCTTTTCGCGACCAAACCTTTTGGTTGGCAAAAGTGAGATTCCACGACCAAGAGCTGTTTTGGTCGGCAATACATGTATTTTTTGCGAAAAAAAATTATTTTGGATGTCGCGACTAATAAATTAGTCGCCAAAGTAGGAAAACAATACACCTGTAATTCCTAATAATTCATTCAATCCATAATAAACCTATAATTTTAAAGCATCATTCAAATTAACTAAATCATTAACATTCGACACAATACAACTATTCTAAGTTTTCATTCACAAGTCACATCATTAACTTCTGATGTGTTCGTATCTCTGTCTTCTGAATCAGGCTGCATTTCAGGAAGACAATCTACTAGATCAGACACATTAGAATTTTCAAGCACGAGTTCTGCATCCTCGATCGTGAAATATTTTCTTTCATCAGCAAGGCTTTCTTCTTGGAGGATGTCTTGGATTGCAACACCTGACTTGTCATCCCTTCCTTTATCCTTCACCTTGCGATTATTTCGTTTTTGCTTGCCCTGAATTGTAGAATAAATCAAAGATGTAGTGCAGCTGAATTCAAATGAAAGAAAGATTTACAAAATCTCTCCCTCCAACAAAATAGAAGTTTCATGCATATGCAGCATACCAAGGATTAGTTTGTGTTAATTAAAGAGACAAGCCCAACCATACAACCAACAAAAAAATAAAGGCACAAAAAACCACCAGTGAAAATGACGATAATTTTAAATACCAATAACAAATTGGACTCCTAATGGCCTGCAACTTGACATTTATCAAGAATATCAGCAGCTCTTGAATGAGGTGATATGACTCCCAAAAAACTCCAAAAATATTTCCAAATGCATCATTTTCCTGGCCCCTTTATCATAATTTTTTTTCTAATTTTAATAAACTAAATAATCAATAATACAGGATCCTGCCCATTTTCTAGGCTAATCAAGACAGGAAAGAAACTTGAGCATCCGAGCCCCGAAACATCAAGGTTGGGAGAACACCCAGGTACCACTTGGCCTATAAGGCCAATGGTGAGAATATTTTTTGTTGTAAATGTGAGGCAAAACCAACCATATATAAATTTCCCATTTCTCCTAAATCTGTTCTTATTTTTGTGATGTAATATTTGACATACATGCTTATTCAATGTTATAGAAAAAAATTTATATAAAAAAAAAGACGACACTTACCACCTTATAAATATACCATATGATACCAAACATACATGCACCAAAGACTAGAAAATTGTCAACCATCAACTACGTAACATCACAAGCCACCATAAACTAGAAATTGTCAACCGTAGACCATATATTTTTTCTATTCTCTTTTTATTTCATATATTTTTACCATTTTGCCATTGGTCCATTAGCTTTCCATCATGGTAATTGTAGGTTTCTCAAACCTTAGGGGTTTTTTGCCTAATTGCCAAACCACAGAGAAGGTAAGTGAAAGTCTCCTCTTTTTCTATCATAACACACTAATCACAATTGCTTCAAACCCAGACAAAAAACATGCAAAGCCAAAGGTCACAATAGGTGTAATCAAAGAAGGTGTAATGAAAGTAAGATTGGACAGGGAGTACATACCTTCACAATAGGTGTAAGGAACTCAACTAAGAAAGAAGGAATTTTTAGCAACGATGGCCAAAATGAATGAATAAAATTAATCAGAAATGAAGATTCAAGTCTTGACACTGCACGTGGAGTTGCTCCCAAGAGAGGAATGGTTCTTCCCTTCACTCCCCTCACCACGTCCTTTGACAGCGTAAAATACTTTGTGGATATGCCACCAGTAAGTATACCTTTTTCCTCTTTCACTCTTAGTTTAGCTCAAATGCCACTACTACACAATCATTTGTCGCATTCTAGTATGACTAAAGAAGATCGCTTTCAAATGAATTTTTAGAAACTCAAATTAAAATCCAATTAGTAAAACAAATTGTGTTGATATCAATAGGAGATGAAGGAACAAGGAGTAACCGAAGACAGGCTCCAATTACTTCGCGAAGTAACCGGTGCATTTAGGCCCGGTGTCTTGACTGCCCTGATGGGAGTCAGTGGGGCTGGAAAAACTACACTCATGGATGTTCTAGCGGGAAGGAAAACAGGTGGTTACATCGAAGGTGATATCAGAATTTCTGGATTCCCCAAGATTCAAGAAACATTCGCTAGAATTTCTGGATACTGTGAGCAAACCGACATCCACTCACCACAAGTCACCATTCGTGAATCTTTGATTTACTCAGCTTTTCTTCGACTCCCTAAGGAAGTCAGCAAGGAGGAAAAGATGGTAACAACTATCATTCATATTGCCTTTTTTATGAAAAGATTTTAAGAAGTATAAGGTCAAGTACTAAGATGGTTTGTTTCTGTATTTCCTTTTTAGGTTTTTGTGGATGAAGTGATGGATCTAGTTGAACTAGACAACCTCAAAGATGCCATTGTAGGGCTTCCAGGAGTTACAGGTCTATCAACAGAACAGAGAAAGAGATTGACAATAGCGGTGGAGCTAGTTGCTAATCCATCAATCCTTCCAAATCTCCCTCTCCATGCACACCACCCAAGGCACATTCCCAATTCATCACACTTTTCTTTCATTTTTTGTGTACAATATCCTTCGATTTGTAAACTATATTCTCAAATCTCTGTACTTAAGTTCCTGATTTCCTCTAGTCTCCTGATGTTATTTCCAACCTGCTCAAAATCTACTAGCTCTAATTGTGGGGTTAAGAGAATTTACATAGCTCCCTGAGGCACCATAAAAAACGGCTCAAAATGCATGGCAAGAAAAGGAGAAAAAATTAGAAAAAAAGCAATATATAAAATATCGAGTGCATCAACAAAAAAAAACATTAACTTCTTCCCTAGTAATCCACCAGTGAAAATGACAACTGATTTAGATTTACAGCATTACATAGGAAATGTTTATCAACAAACAAATAATACCTTCTGCAAATGACAACACTTCTGTATATCTTTCAAGTTTTTAGAGGTTTTGACAGACTCATCTTTAGATATAACCTGCAACACAAGTACAACTTTGATCAGTAAACAACAAAGAGAACCCACTCATGGAGAGAACATAAATGGACAAGGATACTGGTCACTTACCCCTGTACCGCTGCAAGGAGCATCTAATAAAACCCTATTAGCTGTGTTCTGACCCAAAACTTTGGGCAACTGGAATCGGAAGGAAAAAGGAAAAAAATATGAAGGCATTCGATATATTCATCGGAATTGAAGGGGAACTTACAAAATTACCATAGAATATAATGGCTGCGTAAGCGAGTGTCGAGAAGTAAAAAAGATGCAAGAAGCACCCTTGGAAAAATAAGAAGGAAAAGATCACTAAAGGCCCAAATTATTAAAACCAGTGCATCACAGAAGAAATTTATTAAAATGCAAGAAAAGATCATCTGAGATCAAGTTTCCCTTTTGCCACATTAAACAGGATGTTTTTTTAACAAAATAACAACTCACAAATTCAAACTTCAATCATTCAGTCCCAAGGAAATATGGCATTTATATAATGTAATAGATAAGAATTAAGGGCAACAAAACAAGATGCTTACCTCTCTCCCGTCATAGTTGCAAACTATAGTGTTTGTCACCCCCATACGATGTAAATTTGCAGTAAGCGACTTGAGTCTTGACTCCTTCATCTCATTTGCATAAATTATACCTAGTAACCATTGCATTAGATAACAGGGAGGAAAGAGACATGGGATTCATATAGATACTAGGGCAAGGAGAAAAAAAATCATCAAGGACTTTGCCCAAAGACAATTTGTTGTTGGCAACTTTTTGAGTGCAAAAAAATGGTTATACATACATCAGCAAAATAAACATTATACACCAACTTGTCTGACATCAGAATAAATGAAGATTTGTATTTAAACTAAATTTTAAGAAAGTAAATGACCGCCATTTCGGTTGAAAATTCCTCCAAGTTGCTCAATAGACAGTGTCACACTTTATTGTGTAGGTGGAAATAGGGTAAGCCCGTATCTCCCTGCATTAACAAGCAAATGGACACAAACTCATGCATATATTCACTTGAATATGCTCAACCCAACAAGTTGTGAGTAAGCCATAACAACAATATGAATTAATTGAAAGCATAAGTGCAATTGAAATAACAGAGTCAAGATGGAAATCACTACACACCACTCTTTTTCATAAGAGCAGCAACGTAGGTTGTTTTACCACCAGGAGCAGCCCTGCAATAAAGTATAAATTGCAATTAAGAGGGAGAATGCAGATAGAAAGAAGCAGTGAAGATAACACATGAGACGTGGACATGGATACCACATATAATCCTATTCCTTTGATTGCATAAATGTCCATGACTAGTGTGTGAGACTGAATACATCAATCAACTCTACCATGTCTCATACAAAGAAGTGAACATGAAAAAGGCAAGATATTAGTGTCCCTAAAGTGAGCTTTCTTTACACTGTTTTGTCTCAGATTGTATCAAAGGTTAAATTATGCTACAAATTCATAATATAAGAATTGTGAAATGGAATCACAAGATAACTACAGCAATTTTCAAGGCTGGACGTATGTAAGGATGCTTTTGTTACTTACCTTACCCGTCAAAAAAACAACATTAACATGAAGAAGAGAAAGAGGAAAACAAAAGACAACATTTAAAGTATAATAAAACAAAAGAAAAGAAAGAAAGAGAAACTTAGCCATTAAACTTGCTCAAATAAAAATAAGAAACTAAAAACACAGGATAATGCAAAAAAATTCAGATAGATAGCAAGCAGATATTTCTGTGTGAAAGAGTTCAGTTACTTACGCCATATCAACAATCCTTTCCTTCTCTTGAGGAGCAAGGGCCATCACAGGCAAAAAAGAGCTTGCACTTTGCAACTGTAAGCAAACTTACTATGAGCACCGAACCTTTAGACGAAATCGAACTACTTGAAGCTCTGAGACGGCGTAGAGATCAAGCACAGAGAGAGAGAGAGAGAGAGAGAGAGAGAGATAAGAGGCAGGAGAACCGTCCTAGGATTAGGGTTTGATAAGAAGAGAGATCAATCATGGAATAGAAGGAAGAGGTAGTGTATGTACCTGAAGGATGAGGTCGTCGTAGATATCGATGATCTTGTTGTAGGATTTGGAAGCCATTTTGTCGCTGTGGATCGCTCACGACGGTCAGATCTCGGCCTAGGAATCAAATCAGATTCAGATCTCGACTTTCTTCTCGGATTCGGCGGAGGCACAGGCGGAGGAGAAGGAGGAGGATCATCGACGATGTAGATGTGGCGATCTGTGGCGATGGGGTGAGGTTTGGCGGTGGAGAAGAATTTGAACAAAATGTTGTGTGTAATTGTAAACAGAGAACAAGGGTGGGCGCGAGATTTCCCTCTAAAAAAATTTCGCCTTTAACGACTAAATTCATTTTTTGTCGCAAAATCTCAAACATATAACGACTAATTTTTTTAGTCGCCAAATCTCAATCAACGATGACTAAAATATTAGTCGCTAAAAATATTAATTTGGCAACTAATTTTTTTTGGTTGCTGAAAATAAGTTTTTGGCGACCAAATTTTTGGTCGCCAAAAAATATGTGACCTTCCGCGACCAAATTTGTAGTTGGTCGGCAAATGCATACCACTTTCTGCGACCAACTCATTTTTTGGTCGCCAAAATATAACCTTCTGCGACCAATAATATTTGGTCGCCAAAAATAATGATCATTCGCGACTAATTAAAATTTGGTCGCCAAATGTGATTTTTTTGCGACCAAAATTTCTTTGGTCGGCAAAAGTGGTCGCAAAATGTGTAAATTCTTGTAGTGATTTTTGCAATAAGAAAAGCCTTCTATTTTTTTAGAAAATTATAAAAATATAAAAAGATGACAAAATAATTGCATTTTATTGGGATGTTTCCTCCCATCTAAATAAAAAAAAATGGAATGTTTCTAAAATTACAAAGCAAGCAGGAAAAAAAAAACTACAAGAAAATTTGCACTTTAAAAACAATTTTGTCTCTTGCACCTTCTTTTGCTTCAATCCTCTCTTCTCTCCCTTTTCGCCTTTCTCTTTCCTTCCCTTGCTCTTTATTATAATATTTTGGCAACTATCTTCCACCATTGGTCACCCTTCTCCATACTCTTGTCCTTTTTTGCCACGCCTATTCCTCTTTTGACCCTTCCTAATTCTCTTTTGCCACCCTTCCTCACCATCATCCACCACTCTCAGTCTGTCCTCTACCCTCCTCCGAAATTGTAGAAAAGAAAATGAGGGGAGACAGGAATAGAGAGAATGTGCAAAGGGTAAAATTGTCCATTTCTTTTTCATGTGTTTGTAAGTATTTTTTAGAGTAAATTGGTGAAAAATTCACTCTAGCAATTGTTTAAGTCATTAGGTGTAGTGATTTTTTTTTTGTTAGTGAGAGATCCTCCATTTCTAAAATAATTTGGTGAGAAGTCTTAGAGAATATTTTGTTTCCAATTTTACCCCTTAATTTATCTATTAATTTTTTTTATCTATTGACTTTTCGTTGACCATCTGCGCAAATATATATCTATCCGTTCAAATTTATATCTACTTGTTCAAATTTTTTTCTATATATTCAAATTTATATCTATCTGTTCAAATTTTTTTCTATCTATTCAAATTTTTTCCACTTATCTGTTTAAAAATTATTATCTATTGAAATTTACCACCTAATCTCCTAAGTTTTTACCTATCTGTTCAATTTTTTCTATTCAAATGTTATTTGTACAACCTTTTTTTTATTTGTTAAAATAGTAATTTTAACATATAGGTGTAAAATAGCAATTTTTATCTGTTAAAATAACATTTTTTTAAATCTATTTCAACATATCTAATCTTTTTCACTCTCTTCATAACAAGAAAGTTGAAGGAAATTAAATTAGATTTTTTTTATCTGATTTTTTCTCACTCTATCCATAGAAAGAAAAAGAAAGTAGAAGGAAATTAAAAAAGAAAAAAGAAAAAAAAAACTTATCTAGTGCAAAGTTTTATCATCAGGAAAAAAAAAAAAAAACTCTATTGCAAAGTTTCATCATCATCAACATCAACAATAACAACAACAATTACTACAAAACTCAAATCTAGATAGAGAGATAGAGAAACATCAAACAAACATGTATATCAATATCTATATATATCAATGATGTTGATGAATGTATCTTGATCCGTAGCTCCACCGTGGTGACGGCAAAAGGCTTGTTCGTTCTCAATCTAGCCTGTGGGGGACTGGGGAGTCCAGTGAGGTGGCGACACGATTGTGCCACACATGGTGGTGATCTGTTGTGGCGTTATGGCGGCAAGATGAAGAGATAAGGAAATTGAGAGGTAGAGGTGGATAAAATTGTAGAGATCGACAATGGAGTCGCAGCGGAGCTCGTCGGTAGTGTCAGGAGAGGTGACGCGGCAGTCACAATGGTATCAAAGGAGGCGACGAAGGAGGAGACGATATGAATGGCAATTTGAACCCGACTCGACAAGGACCCAGACCGCCCCACTCTGATAAGTCGGATTTTCACCAAAAATTACCCCTCATAGGGCCGGGGTTGGTGTTGAAAAATGAATCCCTGAAAGTTTTCGAGCCAAGGACGGTAATAGGTTCCCCCCGCCCCGCCCCGAATCATCCCTGTATATATATATATATGTATGTTTAGGGTTTTTCTATTCACTCACTTCTCTTCTCTTCTCTTAGAATATGTGTGTATGTATGTATTTATCTGGATTTTCCTTCCCTTTTCTCGCCCAATTCTCTGTTTTTCTTTTTCTAATTTCAATTTTTTAAGATTATTTTTCTTCATACATGTATATATATACACTCTTCCTAAGTATGTATACATTCTTCTTCTAGAAAACTAGGAAATAAAATTTAGGCCTGTATCTGGTGTCAAAAAGATTGAGAGCACTGGTTCTTGCAGCATGGTTTCTAGGTTTTGTTCTCTTATGGAGAATGTTGGAGATATGTCTTTGCATGTAAGTTGATTGATTCTCTCTTTTTGGGTACAAAGTTCTACAATTTCTGGTGAGTGCTTCAATTTCTTGCTTTACACATTTCGATCTGTACACGTTCTTTGATTTGATCTAGGTTTATTTTGATTTCTCTCTGGTTTTTTGATTTCGAGCTGTTTTTCAAATTTTCTGTTGCTACTGTTAAGGGTAGGCACAGGTCAGTTGTAGCCACAGAACCTCCAATCCGCTATCCGTCTGCTAGATTGGTGAATTAGAAAAAATCAATCCGCATCCGTCCGCCAAACCGGTGAATGTGGATTGAGCAGATTGGCAGATGGATGCGAATTGGTTTGGCGGTTAAAATTTTTATAAATTTTCAACATAATTCAACTTGTGCACTTCCTTAAAAAAAAAAAAAAGTATTACAGTCAGTGACTTAAAAAAGTATTACAATCAGTGTATGCCTTATCCAAAGAAATAAAGTTTGGAACATTAGAATATTACAATCACTGCATGTCTCATCCACATATTATGCATTATGTATCTGTATATATATATATATATATATATATGTAAATTTGGTGTCAGAAAGATTGAGAGCACTGGTTCTTGTAGCATGGTTTCTAGGTTTTGTTCTCTTACGGAGAATGTTGGAGATATGTCTTTTTGGGTACAAAGTTCTACAATTTCTGGTGAGTGCTTCAATTTCTAGCTTTACACATTTCGATATGTACACGTTCTTTGATTTGATCTAGGTTTATTTTGATTTCTCTCTGGTTTTTTGATTTCAAGTTGTTTTTCAAATTTTATGTTGCTACTGTTAAGGGTGGGCACAGGTTGGTTGTGGCCACAGAACCTCCAATCCGCCATCCGTCCACTAGATTGGTGAATTAGAGAAAATCAATCCGCATCCGTCCGCCAAACCGGCGAATGTGGATTGAGCAGATTGGCTGATGAATGCGAATTGGTTTAGCGGTTTAAAATTTTATAAATTTTCAACGTAATTCAACTTGTGCACTTCCTTAAAAAAAAAAAAAAGTATTACAGTCAGTGACTTAAAAAAGTATTACAATCAGTGTATGCCTTATCCAAAGAAATAAAGTTTGGAACTTTAGAATATTACAATCACTACACGCCTCATCCACATATTATGCATTATCCACATAAAATATTACAATATGTGGTTTTTAAAATATAAAAACAATTTAAACTACCAAAACATAGTAGAGATTGTATGCCTCTGTATTGTTACATCTATATCTGTTTTTGAAAATAAAAATCAACCAACATATATCACCTTTTTATTTTATTTTATTTTTTTTTTAGAGTTAGATTTAAAAACCAAAATATGTAGATAAATAAGACATTTATTTTTTTCAATTCAAAAAATGCATTCAAGTTGAAAACTCTTTTTCAACAGAATATATTCAATAGAATATTTAAACTCTTTTTCAATTGAAAATTCAAACAGAATATCTAAACAAATTGAAAATACAAAGTCATACAAATACTAGGGGGTGCTCACGGTTTGGCAGTTCGGTTACGACCAAATGAACCTCAAATCCACCATCCGTCAAAAACTAAGCGAATTGAAAAAAATCAATCCGCAACTGTTCGCTCGTTATCACGCATTCGTCCAAAATGCGGCAGATCGATTCAGTTCGGTCGATTTTGGTGGATCGGTATATCCGCTGCTTACTTCTAACTGCTGTTTTGTTTTGTTTTTTATTTTTTTTTGGGCCGGAGAATGTTCGAGGTTGGGGAAACCCGATCCCCATTAGGGGTCGGTAATAGGTTTCCAATCAGGGATCTGGGCCAAGGATGAGGGAATTTTCACCATCGGGGATCGGGAACAGGAAGTGTGATCCCCAACCCCACCCCGTCCCGGCCCATTGCTATCCCTAGGAGGAGGCAAAGAGAGAGAGAGAGAGAAAAATAGAGAGAGGAGAG